GGTGGAAGTGGTAAGGGACCAACGATTGAGGAGGTCGACTAACCTGTAATTGTTGTGATTAATTATTTGGTACTTGAATGAATTCAGATTTTATCTGTAATGAATTTTGTCTTTTGATTTTTATTAGTTATTGGTTGTTTGATACAGGGTCAGGGTTTCATTACTGGCGAGTAGTGAATATCGTTGTCTAATGTCTGGTCGCTCAGTGTAGGATAGTGATCGCTCTCTATCTCGTCCTGCCCTCTATGTTACGAAAGGCTTGTTAAGTTGAGTGTTGCGAATCCGTATGTGTGCAACGTGGCGTTTGCACCTCAGGACTATTGGTTGCGATTTAGGTGGCACGTCGTGTGTTCCTAGTTTATTAGACCGGCGTAGTTGTGGAGCGTTGTTGCGTACGCGTCGAGAAGACCGAGTGAGTAGTTTGTGTGACTAGATGTTCCGATGGGGATTTTGGTGTAGTTGGTGAGTGGAGTGATAAAGTTATTTTCGTCGAGTGTTGTTGAAGACAGGCGACTCGTACTTTTGGTCCGTAAGTGCATTTGCTCGAGAACTTGACTAACGACCCAGTTGAGTGGGATGATTTCTTGTGAGATGGTAAGTGTTTAGTTGATTAGTGTGAACGGTCTCCAATTACTAGTTAGTTATTTACTGCCTTGCCCAACAATAGACGAGTTGTAAAATAAGTAGGGATAACAATGCACGTGTTTCGCATAGTATTCTACATTGTGATATGTAGGTTGGTGGAATGTAATCAGCGTTTACTTAATTGTTGGAAGTGCCTATGCTTCATGGAGTCAGTTGACCTCAGTGCGTCGAAGAACGGATGGTCGGTCAGTTGGGCAATCGTATGTATGGAAGTGAATTTATTATAAGCTATGTCTAGTCATCGACGTTATAAACCTTTTACTTTGTAATTGGTAGGTATGTGTTCAGACTTGTAGGTGGTGATTAGATTGGTTGTATTTGAATTTTGCAAAACGAGGTGTGGGGTTGTTTGGAGATGCGTATATGTGGCTGAAGTAGAAGTGGCATTGGTGTACGCAACAACTGGAAGGGGTAAGATGGTACATGTGTATAGATGAGGATGTTTGTAAGCTAGCATATTGGGCTGGTATTTTTATGCTGATTTCAATTCAGTCAACTAGTGCAAGATGTGAATGGTGCAGTCATATCTCATTGACGCAACTAGGTGAGTTTCCAGTGAGTCAACGAAACTTCCTGTGGGCAAGGCCAGACTTTCAGGATGAGATGAATTCGTGTTTTTAATTGAGCGCTTCCCGTGAACTAGAATCAGCCTGGAATCACAACATTTAATATTAGAGAATTCCACGTCGTGGATTATTTGCCGACTCTGGGACTGGTTGGAAAAAGCGGAGAGGTGGTCAGTGTATGACATGGTGTCGTGGTATGAAAGAAGGCTGCGAAGGGCTGGCTTGTGTTGGTCGTTCACGACTCCCTGGTTGGGGTCCGAGAGATGGTGCAACACAGTGGCTAGAGACGTTATCAGATATGGCTCAGAATAGAAGCCAGTGGCGATCCTGCTGTAACCTTCTTTTACTTTCTTCGTAAAAAGTGATTGGATCTTCCTAAACTGAAAGACTTCTTCTGATTGTACCTTTCCGTTCCCCCATTATTACTATTATTATTATTATTATTATTACTATTATTATTGTTATTATTACTACTACACTACCTTACACCAATCTCTTCGTTATTATTCTCTTGTTTTTTTTACGCTCCTTACCGTTTTTCCCTTCTGTTTAAATTCTCAATGTTTTGTGTGGCGAATATATATTTGGCGCACTCTTGTACCAATATTATGTGTTCAAATAAATAAATAAGCCACCAAACCATTATTGTTTGATCAATTCAGAGAGAATGGTGTGAAACAGTGTTTTGGAAACATTGCTAATTTCGTTGTGGTGGTGTAGAGAAAGAGAGTAGTGAGTGGGAGTTGAAGTATATTGATAAAAGTAACTAGGGTACGGGATTATTAGTGGATGAGAAGAAGTGGTAGGGTGAAGTTGGTTGACTGTGTCCTGTAGGCCTTATAGTTCTGGCTTTATTCAAAGTCATCATGATAGTTAAATGTGTGCGCTTCGTCAGCTCTTGAGCCTAGGATTTTCTAAGTCGTGTTGCGCCTAGCCTAGGAGTTCAGCAACGATTTACAACTGAGAATTATGTGACTTCAGTTTTAGAATTGCGAGTGAGCATATCAAGGCGTATACTAAGTAATTGGGAAATTGTGTGAATCAGTGAAAAATGCGAGCACAACCTGACATCACTGAACTTGTGAGTGTCCTTTGTAGAATAATTTTGAACCTCACTATCTGTCCTAGTTAGCTAATGAATGAGTGGCACGATCGAAGCATTGTCTCAAGCTACTTATATACTTCATGATAGTTTAAACCTGAAAGTTTTCATAACATTTCCTAAAGTGTGTCATTCATTTTCGTTGTTTTCCTTGACTTGTTGCATGGGATAAAATATTTATATTGGAGTAGGTTTTCATCGTGGTTTGATCTGATGTTAGTGACCGAATTGTACCATGTTAGTTGGTCGGAGGTAATCGACAAGAAGCTGTAGACCCAGGTTTCGTGCTCGCTGGCACTCGTTAGTAAGGTGTGCCTGGAATCTTGAGAGGAATGGACGTCCTGTGTGGACTTCGAACCCACGTCAATCAGTGTCGTAGTCAGAGGTGCTAGCATGGAGCAATTCGGGCTTCTACCGACTGTTATGTCTGATTCAAGCATATGATTTAGCACACCGATTACTTTTGTTCATTGCAACATTTTTATCCTTACGATGCCAGTAGAGTTTCTCCTCCTGACATTCTATTGATTAATCAGTTGTGAGGAGACTGAGTTGTGGTTTATTGGAATTCTATCTGTTGATTATCATAAAGTGAGTCGACCTGAAAATAAATGTATTGACATGTTGTGTTAATCCAGTTGTTAATAGTAATAATAATAGTAATAATGATAATAATAATAATAATTATTATTATTATTACTATTATTGTTATTATTATTCAATATTATATTTTGGTACAACATAGGATTCCCAGCACGAGGTTTGGTTATGAAACAATTCTTCATCTGTCAATCAGTCTTTTGACTTCTTACATGAGTCTTTCTAGTCACTTCGACAATCAACGATAATTCAGTCAACTATAACGGTCATGTCACCGACCTCCTGTAGGACTGAGACATTTACACTGGTTCATCACAGAGTGGTAACCGATCCCATGTTTATCTAATTCTGAATGATGATCGAATTCTATCGAACACTTGAACAAGTAGCCACATTGCAACTGTTCAGATGGAATTGGATCAGCATTAAGAAGTAGGCAAACATGACATAATGATGTACAACCGGGCATAGTTACAGCTCGGTGACTAACCAGTATGAACTGAACTATACCCGACCCCTAAATATCACACGTGTTAGTTCAACTACTTATAATTGTGTCAGTAGTCAAACTCGATATTGAAATGTTTTTTGTGTTTGAGGTTGTGAATGGGTGAATGGGATGGGTGCACGTCTTAGATTTTATCCATTTGTCCACACTGGCCAGACAATTGCGTTTGTATTAGGCACCCTGCATTGCATTGTACTTAGGGAGGCTATGAGTGAAATTTTGACTAGGAAAGCATCTTGTTTGTGAGTATTTGGTCAGTAGTCTGGTGGTTGAGTGTGATTGGCCCATTGTGAATACTTGTCGACAGGTCATTGGTCGATTGTTTTCTATCGAAGGTCATCGAAACTTCTAGTATGTTCTACGTGTAAAGTATTTAAGCTAGGTGCACAGCTTGCAGTGGTATTAATTGAGTGATTCGATTACCAGTGTTTGTTTTTTTTTTTTTTTTTTTTTTTTTTTTTTTTTTTTTTTTTTTTTTTTTTTTTTTTTTTTTTTTTTTTTTTTTTTTTTTTTTTTTTTTTTTTTTTTTTTGTTTGCCATGATCAGGGTAACAGAACGACACCGAGTTATGTGGCGTTCACAGATGCTGAGCGTTTAATTGGTGATGGAGCGAAGAACCAAGTGGCTATTAATCCAACAAATACAGTGTTTGATGCGAAGCGGCTAATCGGTCGTCGTTTCGATGATCCATCAGTTCAGAGTGATATGAAGCATTGGCCATTTGAGGTGGTTCAAGTCGGTGGTAAGCTGAAAATTCGTGTTGAGTATAAGGGTGAGAAGAAGTTGTTCTCCGCGGAGGAGATTTCGTCGATGGTGTTGACGAAAATGAAGGAGGTTGCTGAAAGTTATTTGGGCAGGACAGTAAGTGACGCGGTTATAACAGTTCCTGCTTACTTCAATGACAGTCAACGTCAAGCAACGAAAGATGCAGGTGCTATAGCTGGTCTTAATGTGTTGAGAATCATTAATGAGCCTACAGCTGCGGCAATTGCCTATGGTTTAGACAAGAAGGTTGGTGGTGAACGTAATGTGTTGATATTTGATTTGGGTGGTGGTACATTTGATGTGTCCATCTTGACAATTGAGGATGGTATATTCGAGGTGAAGTCTACTGCTGGTGATACACACTTGGGAGGTGAAGATTTTGACAATCGTCTGGTGGATCACTTTGTGAAAGAGTTCCAGAAGAAATTTAGTAAAGACATTCGTGACAATAAGCGTGCATTGCGTCGCCTGAGAACAGCATGTGAACGTGCGAAACGTACATTGAGTTCGAGCACCCAAACGAATCTGGAGATTGACTCGTTGTGTGATGGTATTGATTTTTACACGTCGATTACTCGTGCACGATTTGAGGAGTTGAATGCCGATCTATTCCGTGGTACATTGGGTCCTGTTGAGAAGGCTTTGCGAGATGCTAAGATGGATAAGGCCCAGATTCACGAAATAGTGTTGGTTGGTGGTTCCACTCGTATCCCTAAGGTGCAGAAGCTGTTGCAGGACTTCTTCAACGGGAAGGAGTTGAACAAATCTATTAATCCGGATGAAGCTGTGGCTTATGGTGCAGCTGTGCAGGCAGCTATTCTAAGTGGTGACAAGTGTGAGGCTGTGCAGGACTTGCTGTTGCTTGACGTGGCTCCATTGTCACTGGGTCTTGAAACGGCTGGTGGTGTAATGACGGCTCTGATTAAGCGTAATACGACAATTCCGACGAAGCAGACTCAAACGTTCACAACGTACTCGGACAACCAGCCTGGTGTGCTTATCCAGGTGTTTGAGGGTGAGCGTGCTCTGACGAAGGACAACAATCTGCTTGGCAAGTTCGAACTCTCAGGTATCCCACCTGCTCCTCGTGGTACTCCCCAGATTGAGGTGACGTTTGATATAGACGCGAACGGTATTCTGAACGTATCTGCTGTTGACAAGGGTACAGGGAAGCAGAACAAGATAACGATTACAAATGACAAGGGTCGTTTGACGAAGGAGGAGATTGAACGAATGGTAGCCGATGCGGACAAGTACAAGGCTGAGGATGAGAAGCAGAGAGATCGTGTTTCTGCGAAGAACTCGCTTGAGAGTTATGTGTACACAATGAAACAGCAAGTGGAGGGTGAGCTTAAAGAAAAGATATCTGAAAGTGATCGTCAAGTGATATTAAGTAAGTGTGAGGATACAATTGGTTGGTTGGACGTTAATCAATTGGCGGAGAAGCATGAGTATGAAAGTAAGCGGGAGGAGTTGGAGAAGGTCTGTGCGCCGATAATTACGAAGGTGTACCAGGCTGGTGGTATGCCAGGAGGCATGCATGAAACAGGTGGTGCTGGTGGTGGAAGTGGTAAGGGACCAACGATTGAGGAGGTCGACTAACCTGTAATTGTTGTGATTAATTATTTGGTACTTGAATGAATTCAGATTTTATCTGTAATGAATTTTGTCTTTTGATTTTTATTAGTTATTGGTTGTTTGATACAGGGTCAGGGTTTCATTACTGGCGAGTAGTGAATATCGTTGTCTAATGTCTGGTCGCTCAGTGTAGGATAGTGATCGCTCTCTATCTCGTCCTGCCCTCTATGTTACGAAAGGCTTGTTAAGTTGAGTGTTGCGAATCCGTATGTGTGCAACGTGGCGTTTGCACCTCAGGACTATTGGTTGCGATTTAGGTGGCACGTCGTGTGTTCCTAGTTTATTAGACCGGCGTAGTTGTGGAGCGTTGTTGCGTACGCGTCGAGAAGACCGAGTGAGTAGTTTGTATGACTAGATGTTCCGATGGGGATTTTGGTGTAGTTGGTGAGTGGAGTGATAAAGTTATTTTCGTCGAGTGTTGTTGAAGACAGGCGACTCGTACTTTTGGTCCGTAAGTGCATTTGCTCGAGAACTTGACTAACGACCCAGTTGAGTGGGATGATTTCTTGTGAGATGGTAAGTGTTTAGTTGATTAGTGTGAACGGTCTCCAATTACTAGTTAGTTATTTACTGCCTTGCCCAACAATAGACGAGTTGTAAAATAAGTAGGGATAACAATGCACGTGTTTCGCATAGTATTCTACATTGTGATATGTAGGTTGGTGGAATGTAATCAGCGTTTACTTAATTGTTGGAAGTGCCTATGCTTCATGGAGTCAGTTGACCTCAGTGCGTCGAAGAACGGATGGTCGGTCAGTTGGGCAATCGTATGTATGGAAGTGAATTTATTATAAGCTATGTCTAGTCATCGACGTTATAAACCTTTTACTTTGTAATTGGTAGGTATGTGTTCAGACTTGTAGGTGGTGATTAGATTGGTTGTATTTGAATTTTGCAAAACGAGGTGTGGGGTTGTTTGGAGATGCGTATATGTGGCTGAAGTAGAAGTGGCATTGGTGTACGCAACAACTGGAAGGGGTAAGATGGTACATGTGTATAGATGAGGATGTTTGTAAGCTAGCATATTGGGCTGGTATTTTTATGCTGATTTCAATTCAGTCAACTAGTGCAAGATGTGAATGGTGCAGTCATATCTCATTGACGCAACTAGGTGAGTTTCCAGTGAGTCAACGAAACTTCCTGTGGGCAAGGCCAGACTTTCAGGATGAGATGAATTCGTGTTTTTAATTGAGCGCTTCCCGTGAACTAGAATCAGCCTGGAATCACAACATTTAATATTAGAGAATTCCACGTCGTGGATTATTTGCCGACTCTGGGACTGGTTGGAAAAAGCGGAGAGGTGGTCAGTGTATGACATGGTGTCGTGGTATGAAAGAAGGCTGCGAAGGGCTGGCTTGTGTTGGTCGTTCACGACTCCCTGGTTGGGGTCCGAGAGATGGTGCAACACAGTGGCTAGAGACGTTATCAGATATGGCTCAGAATAGAAGCCAGTGGCGATCCTGCTGTAACCTTCTTTTACTTTCTTCGTAAAAAGTGATTGGATCTTCCTAAACTGAAAGACTTCTTCTGATTGTACCTTTCCGTTCCCCCATTATTACTATTATTATTATTATTATTATTATTATTACTATTATTATTGTTATTATTACTACTACACTACCTTACACCAATCTCTTCGTTATTATTCTCTTGTTTTTTTTACGCTCCTTACCGTTTTTCCCTTCTGTTTAAATTCTCAATGTTTTGTGTGGCGAATATATATTTGGCGCACTCTTGTACCAATATTATGTGTTCAAATAAATAAATAAGCCACCAAACCATTATTGTTTGATCAATTCAGAGAGAATGGTGTGAAACAGTGTTTTGGAAACATTGCTAATTTCGTTGTGGTGGTGTAGAGAAAGAGAGTAGTGAGTGGGAGTTGAAGTATATTGATAAAAGTAACTAGGGTACGGGATTATTAGTGGATGAGAAGAAGTGGTAGGGTGAAGTTGGTTGACTGTGTCCTGTAGGCCTTATAGTTCTGGCTTTATTCAAAGTCATCATGATAGTTAAATGTGTGCGCTTCGTCAGCTCTTGAGCCTAGGATTTTCTAAGTCGTGTTGCGCCTAGCCTAGGAGTTCAGCAACGATTTACAACTGAGAATTATGTGACTTCAGTTTTAGAATTGCGAGTGAGCATATCAAGGCGTATACTAAGTAATTGGGAAATTGTGTGAATCAGTGAAAAATGCGAGCACAACCTGACATCACTGAACTTGTGAGTGTCCTTTGTAGAATAATTTTGAACCTCACTATCTGTCCTAGTTAGCTAATGAATGAGTGGCACGATCGAAGCATTGTCTCAAGCTACTTATATACTTCATGATAGTTTAAACCTGAAAGTTTTCATAACATTTCCTAAAGTGTGTCATTCATTTTCGTTGTTTTCCTTGACTTGTTGCATGGGATAAAATATTTATATTGGAGTAGGTTTTCATCGTGGTTTGATCTGATGTTAGTGACCGAATTGTACCATGTTAGTTGGTCGGAGGTAATCGACAAGAAGCTGTAGACCCAGGTTTCGTGCTCGCTGGCACTCGTTAGTAAGGTGTGCCTGGAATCTTGAGAGGAATGGACGTCCTGTGTGGACTTCGAACCCACGTCAATCAGTGTCGTAGTCAGAGGTGCTAGCATGGAGCAATTCGGGCTTCTACCGACTGTTATGTCTGATTCAAGCATATGATTTAGCACACCGATTACTTTTGTTCATTGCAACATTTTTATCCTTACGATGCCAGTAGAGTTTCTCCTCCTGACATTCTATTGATTAATCAGTTGTGAGGAGACTGAGTTGTGGTTTATTGGAATTCTATCTGTTGATTATCATAAAGTGAGTCGACCTGAAAATAAATGTATTGACATGTTGTGTTAATCCAGTTGTTAATAGTAATAATAATAGTAATAATTATAATAATAATAATTATTATTATTATTATTACTATTATTGTTATTATTATTCAATATTATATTTTGGTACAACATAGGATTCCCAGCACGAGGTTTGGTTATGAAACAATTCTTCATCTGTCAATCAGTCTTTTGACTTCTTACATGAGTCTTTCTAGTCACTTCGACAATCAACGATAATTCAGTCAACTATAACGGTCATGTCACCGACCTCCTGTAGGACTGAGACATTTACACTGGTTCATCACAGAGTGGTAACCGATCCCATGTTTATCTAATTCTGAATGATGATCGAATTCTATCGAACACTCGAACAAGTAGCCACATTGCAACTGTTCAGATGGAATTGGATCAGCATTAAGAAGTAGGCAAACATGACATAATGATGTACAACCGGGCATAGTTACAGCTCGGTGACTAACCAGTATGAACTGAACTATACCCGACCCCTAAATATCACACGTGTTAGTTCAACTACTTATAATTGTGTCAGTAGTCAAACTCGATATTGGAATGTTTTTTGCGTTTGAGGTTGTGAATGGGTGAATGGGATGGGTGCACGTCTTAGATTTTATCCATTTGTCCACACTGGCCAGACAATTGCGTTTGTATTAGGCACCCTGCATTGCATTGTACTTAGGGAGGCTATGAGTGAAATTTTGACTAGGAAAGCATCTTGTTTGTGAGTATTTGGTCAGTAGTCTGGTGGTTGAGTGTGATTGGCCCATTGTGAATACTTGTCGACAGGTCATTGGTCGATTGTTTTCTATCGAAGGTCATCGAAACTTCTAGTATGTTCTACGTGTAAAGTATTTAAGCTAGGTGCACAGCTTGCAGTGGTATTAATTGAGTGATTCGATTACCAGTGTTTGTCAATGATCAGGGTAACAGAACGACACCGAGTTATGTGGCGTTCACAGATGCTGAGCGTTTAATTGGTGATGGAGCGAAGAACCAAGTGGCTATTAATCCAACAAATACAGTGTTTGATGCGAAGCGGCTAATCGGTCGTCGTTTCGATGATCCATCAGTTCAGAGTGATATGAAGCATTGGCCATTTGAGGTGGTTCAAGTCGGTGGTAAGCTGAAAATTCGTGTTGAGTATAAGGGTGAGAAGAAGTTGTTCTCCGCGGAGGAGATTTCGTCGATGGTGTTGACGAAAATGAAGGAGGTTGCTGAAAGTTATTTGGGCAGGACAGTAAGTGACGCGGTTATAACAGTTCCTGCTTACTTCAATGACAGTCAACGTCAAGCAACGAAAGATGCAGGTGCTATAGCTGGTCTTAATGTGTTGAGAATCATTAATGAGCCTACAGCTGCGGCAATTGCCTATGGTTTAGACAAGAAGGTTGGTGGTGAACGTAATGTGTTGATATTTGATTTGGGTGGTGGTACATTTGATGTGTCCATCTTGACAATTGAGGATGGTATATTCGAGGTGAAGTCTACTGCTGGTGATACACACTTGGGAGGTGAAGATTTTGACAATCGTCTGGTGGATCACTTTGTGAAAGAGTTCCAGAAGAAATTTAGTAAAGACATTCGTGACAATAAGCGTGCATTGCGTCGCCTGAGAACAGCATGTGAACGTGCGAAACGTACATTGAGTTCGAGCACCCAAACGAATCTGGAGATTGACTCGTTGTGTGATGGTATTGATTTTTACACGTCGATTACTCGTGCACGATTTGAGGAGTTGAATGCCGATCTATTCCGTGGTACATTGGGTCCTGTTGAGAAGGCTTTGCGAGATGCTAAGATGGATAAGGCCCAGATTCACGAAATAGTGTTGGTTGGTGGTTCCACTCGTATCCCTAAGGTGCAGAAGCTGTTGCAGGACTTCTTCAACGGGAAGGAGTTGAACAAATCTATTAATCCGGATGAAGCTGTGGCTTATGGTGCAGCTGTGCAGGCAGCTATTCTAAGTGGTGACAAGTGTGAGGCTGTGCAGGACTTGCTGTTGCTTGACGTGGCTCCATTGTCACTGGGTCTTGAAACGGCTGGTGGTGTAATGACGGCTCTGATTAAGCGTAATACGACAATTCCGACGAAGCAGACTCAAACGTTCACAACGTACTCGGACAACCAGCCTGGTGTGCTTATCCAGGTGTTTGAGGGTGAGCGTGCTCTGACGAAGGACAACAATCTGCTTGGCAAGTTCGAACTCTCAGGTATCCCACCTGCTCCTCGTGGTACTCCCCAGATTGAGGTGACGTTTGATATAGACGCGAACGGTATTCTGAACGTATCTGCTGTTGACAAGGGTACAGGGAAGCAGAACAAGATAACGATTACAAATGACAAGGGTCGTTTGACGAAGGAGGAGATTGAACGAATGGTAGCCGATGCGGACAAGTACAAGGCTGAGGATGAGAAGCAGAGAGATCGTGTTTCTGCGAAGAACTCGCTTGAGAGTTATGTGTACACAATGAAACAGCAAGTGGAGGGTGAGCTTAAAGAAAAGATATCTGAAAGTGATCGTCAAGTGATATTAAGTAAGTGTGAGGATACAATTGGTTGGTTGGACGTTAATCAATTGGCGGAGAAGCATGAGTATGAAAGTAAGCGGGAGGAGTTGGAGAAGGTCTGTGCGCCGATAATTACGAAGGTGTACCAGGCTGGTGGTATGCCAGGAGGCATGCATGAAACAGGTGGTGCTGGTGGTGGAAGTGGTAAGGGACCAACGATTGAGGAGGTCGACTAACCTGTAATTGTTGTGATTAATTATTTGGTACTTGAATGAATTCAGATTTTATCTGTAATGAATTTTGTCTTTTGATTTTTATTAGTTATTGGTTGTTTGATACAGGGTCAGGGTTTCATTACTGGCGAGTAGTGAATATCGTTGTCTAATGTCTGGTCGCTCAGTGTAGGATAGTGATCGCTCTCTATCTCGTCCTGCCCTCTATGTTACGAAAGGCTTGTTAAGTTGAGTGTTGCGAATCCGTATGTGTGCAACGTGGCGTTTGCACCTCAGGACTATTGGTTGCGATTTAGGTGGCACGTCGTGTGTTCCTAGTTTATTAGACCGGCGTAGTTGTGGAGCGTTGTTGCGTACGCGTCGAGAAGACCGAGTAAGTAGTTTGTGTGACTAGATGTTCCGATGGGGATTTTGGTGTAGTTGGTGAGTGGAGTGATAAAGTTATTTTCGTCGAGTGTTGTTGAAGACAGGCGACTCGTACTTTTGGTCCGTAAGTGCATTTGCTCGAGAACTTGACTAACGACCCAGTTGAGTGGGATGATTTCTTGTGAGATGGTAAGTGTTTAGTTGATTAGTGTGAACGGTCTCCAATTACTAGTTAGTTATTTACTGCCTTGCCCAACAATAGACGAGTTGTAAAATAAGTAGGGATAACAATGCACGTGTTTCGCATAGTATTCTACATTGTGATATGTAGGTTGGTGGAATGTAATCAGCGTTTACTTAATTGTTGGAAGTGCCTATGCTTCATGGAGTCAGTTGACCTCAGTGCGTCGAAGAACGGATGGTCGGTCAGTTGGGCAATCGTATGTATGGAAGTGAATTTATTATAAGCTATGTCTAGTCATCGACGTTATAAACCTTTTACTTTGTAATTGGTAGGTATGTGTTCAGACTTGTAGGTGGTGATTAGATTGGTTGTATTTGAATTTTGCAAAACGAGGTGTGGGGTTGTTTGGAGATGCGTATATGTGGCTGAAGTAGAAGTGGCATTGGTGTACGCAACAACTGGAAGGGGTAAGATGGTACATGTGTATAGATGAGGATGTTTGTAAGCTAGCATATTGGGCTGGTATTTTTATGCTGATTTCAATTCAGTCAACTAGTGCAAGATGTGAATGGTGCAGTCATATCTCATTGACGCAACTAGGTGAGTTTCCAGTGAGTCAACGAAACTTCCTGTGGGCAAGGCCAGACTTTCAGGATGAGATGAATTCGTGTTTTTAATTGAGCGCTTCCCGTGAACTAGAATCAGCCTGGAATCACAACATTTAATATTAGAGAATTCCACGTCGTGGATTATTTGCCGACTCTGGGACTGGTTGGAAAAAGCGGAGAGGTGGTCAGTGTATGACATGGTGTCGTGGTATGAAAGAAGGCTGCGAAGGGCTGGCTTGTGTTGGTCGTTCACGACTCCCTGGTTGGGGTCCGAGAGATGGTGCAACACAGTGGCTAGAGACGTTATCAGATATGGCTCAGAATAGAAGCCAGTGGCGATCCTGCTGTAACCTTCTTTTACTTTCTTCGTAAAAAGTGATTGGATCTTCCTAAACTGAAAGACTTCTTCTGATTGTACCTTTCCGTTCCCCCATTATTACTATTATTATTATTATTATTATTATTATTACTATTATTATTGTTATTATTACTACTACACTACCTTACACCAATCTCTTCGTTATTATTCTCTTGTTTTTTTTACGCTCCTTACCGTTTTTCCCTTCTGTTTAAATTCTCAATGTTTTGTGTGGCGAATATATATTTGGCGCACTCTTGTACCAATATTATGTGTTCAAATAAATAAATAAGCCACCAAACCATTATTGTTTGATCAATTCAGAGAGAATGGTGTGAAACAGTGTTTTGGAAACATTGCTAATTTCGTTGTGGTGGTGTAGAGAAAGAGAGTAGTGAGTGGGAGTTGAAGTATATTGATAAAAGTAACTAGGGTACGGGATTATTAGTGGATGAGAAGAAGTGGTAGGGTGAAGTTGGTTGACTGTGTCCTGTAGGCCTTATAGTTCTGGCTTTATTCAAAGTCATCATGATAGTTAAATGTGTGCGCTTCGTCAGCTCTTGAGCCTAGGATTTTCTAAGTCGTGTTGCGCCTAGCCTAGGAGTTCAGCAACGATTTACAACTGAGAATTATGTGACTTCAGTTTTAGAATTGCGAGTGAGCATATCAAGGCGTATACTAAGTAATTGGGAAATTGTGTGAATCAGTGAAAAATGCGAGCACAACCTGACATCACTGAACTTGTGAGTGTCCTTTGTAGAATAATTTTGAACCTCACTATCTGTCCTAGTTAGCTAATGAATGAGTGGCACGATCGAAGCATTGTCTCAAGCTACTTATATACTTCATGATAGTTTAAACCTGAAAGTTTTCATAACATTTCCTAAAGTGTGTCATTCATTTTCGTTGTTTTCCTTGACTTGTTGCATGGGATAAAATATTTATATTGGAGTAGGTTTTCATCGTGGTTTGATCTGATGTTAGTGACCGAATTGTACCATGTTAGTTGGTCGGAGGTAATCGACAAGAAGCTGTAGACCCAGGTTTCGTGCTCGCTGGCACTCGTTAGTAAGGTGTGCCTGGAATCTTGAGAGGAATGGACGTCCTGTGTGGACTTCGAACCCACGTCAATCAGTGTCGTAGTCAGAGGTGCTAGCATGGAGCAATTCGGGCTTCTACCGACTGTTATGTCTGATTCAAGCATATGATTTAGCACACCGATTACTTTTGTTCATTGCAACATTTTTATCCTTACGATGCCAGTAGAGTTTCTCCTCCTGACATTCTATTGATTAATCAGTCGTGAGGAGACTGAGTTGTGGTTTATTGGAATTCTATCTGTTGATTATCATAAAGTGAGTCGACCTGAAAATAAATGTATTGACATGTTGTGTTAATCCAGTTGTTAATAGTAATAATAATAGTAATAATTATAATAATAATAATAATTATTATTATTATTACTATTATTGTTATTATTATTCAATATTATATTTTGGTACAACATAGGATTCCCAGCACGAGGTTTGGTTATGAAACAATTCTTCATCTGTCAATCAGTCTTTTGACTTCTTACATGAGTCTTTCTAGTCACCTCGACAATCAACGATAATTCAGTCAACTATAACGGTCATGTCACCGACCTCCTGTAGGACTGAGACATTTACACTGGTTCATCACAGAGTGGTAACCGATCCCATGTTTATCTAATTCTGAATGATGATCGAATTCTATCGAACACTCGAACAAGTAGCCACATTGCAACTGTTCAGATGGAATTGGATCAGCATTAAGAAGTAGGCAAACATGACATAATGATGTACAACCGGGCATAGTTACAGCTCGGTGACTAACCAGTATGAACTGAACTATACCCGACCCCTAAATATCACACGTGTTAGTTCAACTACTTATAATTGTGTCAGTAGTCAAACTCGATATTGAAATGTTTTTTGTGTTTGAGGTTGTGAATGGGTGAATGGGATGGGTGCACGTCTTAGATTTTATCCATTTGTCCACACTGGCCAGACAATTGCGTTTGTATTAGGCACCCTGCATTGCATTGTACTTAGGGAGGCTATGAGTGAAATTTTGACTAGGAAAGCATCTTGTTTGTGAGTATTTGGTCAGTAGTCTGGTGGTTGAGTGTGATTGGCCCATTGTGAATACTTGTCGACAGGTCATTGGTCGATTGTTTTCTATCGAAGGTCATCGAAACTTCTAGTATGTTCTACGTGTAAAGTATTTAAGCTAGGTGCACAGCTTGCAGTGGTATTAATTGAGTGATTCGATTACCGGTGTTTGTTCGTTTTAACGTATCTCGAAATGCCTAACGCCATTGGGATCGATCTTGGTACAACATATTCGTGTGTTGGTGTTTTCCAGCATGGCAAAGTGGAGATAATTGCCAATGATCAGGGTAACAGAACGACACCGAGTTATGTGGCGTTCACAGATGCTGAGCGTTTAATTGGTGATGGAGCAAAGAACCAAGTGGCTATTAATCCAACAAATACAGTGTTTGATGCGAAGCGGCTAATCGGTCGTCGTTTCGATGATCCATCAGTTCAGAGTGATATGAAGCATTGGCCATTTGAGGTGGTTCAAGTCGGTGGTAAGCTGAAAATTCGTGTTGAGTATAAGGGTGAGAAGAAGTTGTTCTCCGCGGAGGAGATTTCGTCGATGGTGTTGACGAAAATGAAGGAGGTTGCTGAAAGTTATTTGGGCAGGACAGTAAGTGACGCGGTTATAACAGTTCCTGCTTACTTCAATGACAGTCAACGTCAAGCAACGAAAGATGCAGGTGCTATAGCTGGTCTTAATGTGTTGAGAATCATTAATGAGCCTACAGCTGCGGCAATTGCCTATGGTTTAGACAAGAAGGTTGGTGGTGAACGTAATGTGTTGATATTTGATTTGGGTGGTGGTACATTTGATGTGTCCATCTTGACAATTGAGGATGGTATATTCGAGGTGAAGTCTACTGCTGGTGATACACACTTGGGAGGTGAAGATTTTGACAATCGTCTGGTGGATCACTTTGTGAAAGAGTTCCAGAAGAAATTTAGTAAAGACATTCGTGACAATAAGCGTGCATTGCGTCGCCTGAGAACAGCATGTGAACGTGCGAAACGTACATTGAGTTCGAGCACCCAAACGAATCTGGAGATTGACTCGTTGTGTGATGGTATTGATTTTTACACGTCGATTACTCGTGCACGATTTGAGGAGTTGAATGCCGATCTATTCCGTGGTACATTGGGTCCTGTTGAGAAGGCTTTGCGAGATGCTAAGATGGATAAGGCCCAGATTCACGAAATAGTGTTGGTTGGTGGTTCCACTCGTATCCCTAAGGTGCAGAAGCTGTTGCAGGACTTCTTCAACGGGAAGGAGTTGAACAAATCTATTAATCCGGATGAAGCTGTGGCTTATGGTGCAGCTGTGCAGGCAGCTATTCTAAGTGGTGACAAGTGTGAGGCTGTGCAGGACTTGCTGTTGCTTGACGTGGCTCCATTGTCACTGGGTCTTGAAACGGCTGGTGGTGTAATG